TTTTTTTTTCGAAATTTTCTCACAAGCAAAATTTTCCAGGTCGCTATGACATTCGGTGCCAACGGTGGTTTTGCCATCAATCCAGCTCGAGATCTCGGCCCAAGACTTTTCACTCTTTGTGCCGGCTACGGTTGGGAGGTGTTCAGGTATGGTTTATCATCACATTTACGGTTTTTTTGATCTGTAAATCAGTTCAGTTAAATGGTGATAAACCTGATAGACAACGATCACTCTTAGTATAACCTTGACAGCAATTACGTTTGAAATGCTCGATTGATAAGCCATTGCGAGGAAGTCACAGACAAAGTGAAATGTTGGTCGCTTTGTAATACTCGTTCCATTCACCAAAATAGGGCTGCGTATTACACAAATTTTGCTTACTGTTTTTTTATATTATATTTGCCCTCCAAAGAATTGCAGTTATGAAAAGTAACAGTCCAAAATCACAACATGAAACATGTCAAAAATCTTTGGACCACGAGTCGTGGAAAACTATTCACAGAGAAAAATTCTATTCAGGACAAAGAGCCTTTTCGGTTTCTCAAATTTTCCTCAAGCTGCGGATCTTTTCAATTTTGCCATATCTAGTCATCGCTTTTCTGAAACTACGAAAATCTTATACTGAGGAAAGGATATTTGGACCAAGAGTGGATAAAAATTATTCGCAGAGTAAAACTTCATTCTAAACAAAAATTTTCAGCTTCTTCTTCTCAGAAATTCTTTTACGCGCAGGTTTAGAGCCATATTGCGAGGTCTATCTCATACAACGCTGCTCAAAAGTATGCCAATTGTATGCTGGGGACCAGTTCTCATAAACAAATTCATTCGCAATAGAGCATTTCTGTTCCTCAAAAACCCGCTCAAAATCTGTTTTCACCTTCGAACTCGATGACTTTACTAGCCTTTTTCAGTATCAATTTTAGAGCAAACATTTTGATCCCAGGCTCTAGAAAGAAATTTTAATGCAGTAGAAAAACCAATAATCAGGACTGCTCTCGTCCTGCACCGATATGGAGTCGGCTTAGCGGAAGGCTATCAAAGTGCATTTTTCGATCATTGTAATCCGAATTACAACGAAACCATAGAACTGTACAATTTCAGCGCTAATGGATTCTACTTCTGGATTCCGATTGTTGGCCCATTAATCGGCGCTCTGATCGGAGCTTGGCTGTATAAACTTTTCGTTGGACTTCATGGGCTTAACGAAGATCTAGAACTGACCCATAAGGGCTACAATGTGAGTGTACCAGTCGGCTATAAAGGTGATTCGACTGAACGTCTTCGGCAAACGCCAGTCACTTACACCGTTGATGTACAGAGCCGACAACAACCTCTCAGCAAAGCCTTTTAATTTGTCTCTTAATAACCATTTTTCGCTTGCATTTATGGGTTTCATTTCGTTCAGCATGCATTTTGTGTTCGAATCATGTATTTTTACTGCATTTTCAGTTCATTTGTCTGATGAGGATCTTTCTAGATAGTTTTGAGAGTTGTACATTATATAGAACTTTACAGAACAAGTGGAATATTCCGTTCTAGTGCCTTCGGTTGTGCATTTTGTTGAAATTGTGCCAATAAAGCTGCTTTCTTAGAGCGCCTTCACGCTTGCATTTTATTTCTGTTTTCGTTTATTTTTAACTGTAAACATTTCCATCGTTGCAATATTTACGACAGAAGCATTTATGTCACAGTCACCTTTTCAAAAACTTATTCTTTTTTGTCCAAGTTCTTCAGTCGCATTATGTATTTTGCTTCCTCGACAGAATAACACAAGAGCTAGAAAAATTATTGAGAACTGTCCTGACTTTCCTTACAAAATAGAAAGAAAAATTATATCTGAAAAGTACTTATTCTTTTCCTTTTCTTCATACCATCTTACGTGACTACCCCAAATTTTCAATGATTTTGCATATCTAAACTGTCACTGTCAGAAGTATTTTCGGACTAATTGGTCAAACTAGCGTCGTGAAGACGGTATTATTCTTAGCCACTGAATTAAAAAGAAAACAATGATTGATTACCGCACTACTAGACAGATCACTTAAACGGTCAACAGGTCTTTAAGTTCCACAAGATTTTGAAAAATGCATTTGATTTATGGGATGACATGCCTTTTCATGACTTAATGAGAACTTTGATTTGTTGGCTCTTTGATTTCTTGGCCATCTGGTCAATCTAGCTGGATGTAGCGATGTGTCTGCTATAGGCTTGGATTAAATCAGCCTAATCCTTCTATTTTTGAGCAAGAAATTTGTTACTTTCGCGTCAGCCTTAGGAGTTTTTTTCTTTTTGAAAAAAGCGCTTACTCGAACATATTTCAATCCCTAGGAGTTTCATTTCCTTTAAAACTTTGCTAACTCATTCCCGTAATTTCCGATGCACCAACCTTGTACAGCGGACAAAACTGGGCAAATAATTTTCGTGTCGTCATGTAGAAAAGGACACCAAAGAGAAACAATTAGGATAAAGCTTATTGAAATAACCTTTACACCTTTTGCATGATGGCTGTTATGGTCCACGGTCACTTCTTTGGTGTAGTGATGGAGAAGCGAGGTTGGATAATAATATTGTGAAATTTGCTATAAGAATGCGGTAAAAGAAAACGATTACAATTTTATAATGGGCTATAAAATCACTGGGAGAAATTGCTTACTAACATTGACTTTAATATTACAGGAAATTTTGGTGATTAATAAAATTCACTGTCACTTTAGAGCTACCCTTCAGGCTGCGAAACCTCCGAAGTTCGACATCAAAATCCTCTTCAAGAGAACGTGATTGAATCACCTTAACAACGAGTTTGTTTTCTTTTTTTGTTGCTTAACAGCATCTGCTCAATTTTTCTCAAAAAATGAGTGCTAAGATTTACTCCTTCGTTTTTTGAAATATTTCTAACAAAACCGGCTGAACAATATTTATTGTCAGATTATTGGTGATATATTCTAGGATTTCATGCCACGCTCCCCTGGCATCCTGATCGGCTACGATAACACGTTATCAAGGTGAGGGTACATAACAAACGAATTAGCGATAATGAACA